GTAAATATAGTTTAAATATTCTAGTTCCTAATTATTCTTTTTAATATATCTATGTATATTCATAATTTTTTTTAGTAAAACGAACATATCAACAACATTTATGTCGTCTGAAACAGAATTCTTTTGGCCGAAGTAGAGCAAAACTACATGACGATTTACTAAAAGACTTGGCAGAACTTTCATTAAGTTCATATTCAGAAATAAGGAGGTAATATAATTAAAATATTTAATTTGTGGTTGGATTTTAATCAATTTCACAACTTACAAATTTAAATATCCTAATAAATATGTTAGGATAGCACAATCTTACCTTACCAATGCATCAAGATGCTTTATTGGCGCCAAACCACTTATAATTCCAATTTTGTTGAAAGCTCTGGAGCCTGGTGGTTAGTTTATGCTCATTGCCGTTATTATTATTTATGTTTTTATCAATTTTAAATTTACTAACTTAAACTTGTTTATTAGAACATTCAAACTCGGAGAGAATGAAGGGTGCTTTGTACTTGCTTGGTTCAAGGACATATATGTATACCTGTTTAAGAGATTGGAGATTTGTTCCATTGTTTATAACTAGGATCTGTCTAGCACAACACAATGATAAGGTTTATCATAGAATTCATATTTTGGGACATTATTTTCTGATGATATTATATATTTTTATGTATTTATTAAAGAAGCTAAAACTTTTATTATTATTTAGCCTTCTATTCAAGAAATGATACGTAAAGTCTTTTATGAATATCTTATGAACTACAATAACACCGCATTCAAAACAATTCTTACTGACAGTTTAGATGATGCAATTTGTCGAGCTTTGGATACGTTGTCATTAAAACTTGACGAGGATAAGTATGAGAGGATTTCACGTAAAACTAAACAAAGAATGGATTTGCAAAAGACTAGTTATTTTGAACTTGTATGATTATTAAAAAATCATTAATTCCTGATTAATTATTTATTAGTAAAACAGTATATTAATTATTGATTGATTGATTAGGTCGATAAACTTTTGGGTTTGGTAAATTCTAATAATCTTCATTGGAGATTTGCTTCTATGGCAGCAAATTTCTTAGATTTATTAGTAAGACCGGAGGCACCAACATCTGTTGAATTGGCCAAATTTGCTGTGAATAATTTACTTTCAGAACTTCCAGCAATGAGACGTATTGCCATTTCAACAACTACAAGAATATTATTTCATATTAAACAAAGAACATTTCTTGAGGGTGATCCTGAACTTATTACATTGGGAAAATCAACTAATCCTCTAAAGAAAACGCTTTATGTAAAGTCTCCACTCCCAACTGGGTTTACAGATAATTATCTAGAATCTGGTGTTACTCCGATTGAAAGTGAAAACGATGCAAAAAACTTGTTTGTAGCAAAAAAATTTTTTGAGATTTAATTAATATTTCGAAATTATTTTCATAACTTTTTTGGTTTTTTTAATAGAATATTACAGGATAAGACAAATATCGGCTGGTATGTTTGGCCTGAAAAGCTTCAGTACTATGTGCCACGTACTAATTCAATCACTATGCCAGCAGTTGATCATTTATCTAATCCAGCTTATCTTAAACTGCTTGAGAAATTTTCTGAAAATAGTTTCTGGTCTTCATTTATACTGTATTTGTCACAGGAATCTACTCGTGATAGAGAAGATGTTTTCTCCGTTATCAATGCAAATCTTTTTAAAAGTATTTTTCAAATGTACGAAGATTCATTTCTAGAAATTGTTATACCAGAAATTACAAAATTGTGTAAATCAACAGAAAAGCACCAGCAGAGAGCAGTGTCAGAAATTATGGCTGGCATTGTGAGAGGAAGTAAACATTGGAAATTGGAAAGTTTAAAAAGTTTATGGAGTTGGTTGATTCCTTTGCTTGAAAATACATTTAATCTAATCACACCAGATTCATTAATATATTGGGAAAAATTTCTTGGCTATTGTTTGGTAACAAGTCGATAATTATTATTATTGAATTTGTTTTAAATTAATTTAAAAAATTTATTATATACAAAATTGATTTTTTTACCAGAGAAATAGAGATCCTCGCCGTGTTCTTCCTATTATCGAACTGATATTGAAATCAAAGGTTGACTTGACATCACATGCTTCTTTTGCTGAAGCAAAAAAACTTTCTTTTGTGAATACTTTATTTAATTCATTTTCATGGCGTATGATACCAAAATCCAAACCATTACTTGAAGTTTATTTTGAAAATCTTCGGCATCCTTATAAACAAGTACGTGATGTGATTGCAGCAAATATAAACTTGCTTTTACAAATACAATGGCATCCCTCTGCATCAAACATTGACGAAATATTAGAGAGTAATATAAAATGTGGTAATGGCATGGGGTATGTTCCCATGAGTATGGATGTAAATTTTAAACAAACATTGGATGAATCAGTTAGATTATTAGCGATTTGGAAAACAGAAAAGAAACCAGCTTCAGAAGGATCATCGGAATATGGAAATGCTGGCAAAACCGGTAAATTATACAAACACATGACTAAATACATCATACATCTATACATTCATTCAATGTTATTAATGCTAATAATAATTATTCGATACCAATTTTATTATTTTATTATTATTATCATTAGTGGTTGCATGGTTGTATGATGCTCTTACTTTATGGCAAGCATCTGGAACCTATTATTTGATATTGCCATTATTGCCCTCAATATTTCAAATGCAAGATGTTAACGATGATCAAGATCTACAAACAGTATCAACTCTTGTTTTAAACATAATTGCTTCATTTCCATATCCGCCAGATATGGTTCCATTGATTATTGATAAATTTTTAGAAATTTTGACCGAATCATCCAGTTGGCGTATCAGAGTAAAAGCATTACCTGTTTTGCAAATCTTTTTTTTCAAACATTTATTTATGTTAAATAAAAGAGAAATGATTAAAGTTATGAATGTTGTTTCCGGAATGTTAAAAGACAACCAAATAGAGGTGAGCGAGTGTATATCAACAATAGTTTTATTGTATTATATTTTTATTTTTGCAATATTAAAAATTATTTATGATTTATTTATAAAAGGTGAGACAATTGGCTGCAGTTACATTATCGGGACTTATTCGTTGTTCACAGAGAGATGCAATCGATACTTTAAAAGTATGTATATATGTGTATATTAGATATATAGATAATGATAATGAAAATGCTTTTAAAGTTTAACAAAAATGTTAAAATATAAAAACCTTATTTCCTTCATATTAAAGGAGCAATTTTCAAAACTATTGGAAACTAAAATTCCCCCAAGAAAGAAAACAAATCAAGCACCACGTGCAGCCCTTCCGCTTGGTTTTCAAGAGGCAATCCTTACACGCCATGCTGGTGTACTTGGTCTTTCATGTTTAATTGATGCATTTCCATATGAAGTGCCAAAATGGATGCCTGATGTTCTTGTAAGATTAGCGAACTGTATATCTGATCCTGTACCAATACAAGTAATTATTGTTTCTATCATTTTTTATAAAAAAACTTTTTTTACATAAATAATTCTAATCCTTAAATTTAATATATATATATATACACATATAATTGTTCTGTTAATTAGACAACTGTAAAGAAAACATTTGCAGATTTTAGAAGGACGCACCAGGATTCTTGGCACGAAGATACGAAACAATTCACTGAAGAACAATTAACACTTCTTTCTGATATATTAATATCACCATCTTATTATGCATAGAAATCATATTAATTAATTTATATATTTAAAATTTTATTTTAATAAAAAGCTATGCAGATCAATTATCGAAATTGAAATGCACGCAAAAATATAAAAAATATAATAATTTACCGTTATAAATGGAAGCCACTAATGATAATAATTCAAGAATTCAAACGTATCGTTATAATAGTAAATTAAATAACGAATTTCGTATTAATATACCAAAGATCAAAATTTTGTTTCGTAATGAAGAATTTTTGGTCATCGATAAACCGTAAGATTGATTGTTTTACAAAAGATAAAATAAAATTGCATTAATATTATCAATAAACGATTTTTTTTTTCATTGTATAAAAAGTTATGATGTAAAAATTGATGGCGATTCTTCTAAAAGACCAACTGGTACGTACAAATAAATCAATCTACTATACATTTTCTTATTATATGATTACTTATTATATGTATATAGTATTATCATTATTATATTCTTATGATCCAACATTACCAAAGCCATTACGTAACGTACATCAATTGGATTATTCAACATCAGGTTGTTATTGTCTAGCATTGACAAAACTTTCAGCAAGATTAGCAAGCGTGGCATTTACAAAAAGAACTGTTAAAAAAAGTTATTTGGCAATTGTTAGAAATTGGATGAAAGATGATAAGTGAGCATTAAAAATTGACAACAAACAAAATTTTTTCTCCTCTAAAAAACTTTATTATTTTTTTGATAATAGTTATATTGTTGATCAACCTATAGCTGAAGTACCTAATAATAGATATAGAATGTGTCTTGGTAGTGAGGACAATCTTGGAAAGGTACAACTATACACATAGATGTGTTTTAACTAAAAAATAATGTATAAACTAATTGAACTTGCATGTTTTTTAGGAAGCAAAAACTGAAATTAAAGTAATTAAAAGAGGATATTTTCATCCTTTAAATAATGGTGATGATGATGATGATAAAATATCAGTAACATTAATTCAATTGTTTCCAATAACAGGAAGAAGACATCAATTGAGATTGCATTGCTTATATTTAAAGCATCCTATATTAGGAGACTATCATTATGAAAATTTATGCGAAAATCTTTGTTATACTGATACTTGGAGAATGATGTTGCACGCACATAAATTATTCATACCATTGAGAAACAATAATAATGATGACGAGAAAGAAGAGAAGGAAGTAATTGATGAAATAAAGTCATTGGATATAGAATCTGATGATCCATTCTCTAATTTAGTCTATGATTCCTAATTTATTTGTTTATGAATAGGCTAGCGTGTTCACGGCTTATTTTGAATGAAAAGAGTATCAAGAACAGTATATGTTTAGTGGAATTCCAAGTGAAGAAATGGAAGGGGTTGAAACTTCCTGAAATATTGGAACCTTGAAAATTTCCTTAATTTTTTTTCAAAAATCTAAATAAAAAGTTAGCTCTCAAATTATTTTTATCTTGATGCAATAAGGATTTATAAGACATATATTTTTATAACCAACAAAACTTGAATTAAGTTTTTTTTTGCCTATGAATTTTTAATTTAGTAATAAAAACTGCAAATGTGCAAATTTATTAATATTAATATGTAACAATCCAATGATAATTACAATGCTATAAAATCAATAATAATTTAATTTTAAACTTTGAAACCACGAGAAGCTCTACGACCACGTGCTTTCTCAAATTTCCTTCCCTTTGCACGAACATAAGGTCTTTAAATTTTATTGATTATCATTATTATTCAATCAAAAAGAAATTTTTTTAGTATAATATTAAAATTAATGAAATAATAATAATAATAATATAAAATTCATACTTGGCGTTCTTATGTGGGCCCATCCCAAAATGTCTAATGGCTTCTCTAGATTTAGGACCTCGTAAGAGTACAGTATTAGAACCGGTTGGTGAACGTAAAGCCAATTGATCTAGTGTGAGTACTTCGCCACCAACTTTTAAAATTCTCGCTTTAGCTGTTTTTGTTATTCTGAGCGCTGCAACTGATATTTTTGGTATATCTAATACTCGATTATCATCTGTTACTGTTCCAACTACCACCGCAATTTTACCTGAATGCTTTTCCAAATTACAAATTAGTCGAGAAATTGAAATTGGTGGTCTATTCACTCGTGACATAAATAGTCGTTTTAATATCACTTTATTAAACTTAGAGTCTGTTCTTCTCGCTAAAACTCTATAAAGCTATTTGTTAATGTAAGATGTATATCTGTGTGTGTTAATGACTTTAATTTGAACCAAGTTATTTGTTTGTTCCTTTCATTATTCACTCGCTCATTCTAATTTACCTTAACTAATAACCTGAGATAAACATCTTCACTTTTTGGTTCTGTTCTATTCCTCTTTCTTACGTGGTGTTTCTTGATGTCAATACCCTACAAAATTTGGTTTATTAGAAAATTTTTATTTTTTTCTAATATATATTATTAACTAGTTCATTTTTTATTAATTAATTAGTTGATTGATATTAGATTTACCATTTTATTGATTTATTTTTTTTGTTAGAAAAAAAAAATAAATGATTTTCATTTGCATTGATGTGTAATGATCAGCCAATCAAATCATAAGAGCAAACAAAAATTAGATTCTTATAACCATAATAACTAATGAGTTTCGACTTGATAATCAAATCATACCCAAAACTATTGCTAGTAAATACCCTGGTTTGACCTCATGATCTACTGATTTTATTGTCATTAATTAAATTCGCTCTCCCAAAAATTAATCAATGACGCTTGTGCAGGTTGTGTGGACTAAAACCATTTGATCTGATACAAAAACCCAAATTTCAATTCATGATTGATAATTAAATTATTGTTAGAACTATTGAATGCAAAGCATACCTTTGTTTTTATCTTCATCTTTACAAATAAACTGCTAGATGCAATTAAATATCTTGAACTCATCACACTGGATATTATTAACTGCCTTTACTATCAAATTCTAATTGGAAAGATAACTATCCCGAATTGGTAGTAGTGGACCTCGGATTTCTTTATTTCAAGGGTAAATCCGGATCAATTATTTAGGTTCTATTATCACGGGATAGGACTATTGACAACTTGACAAACAAAGATCCAAAAAAGAAATGTTATTCCTGCGGGCAACTAGGGCACATTATAAGGGATTGTGGATTCAAGCATTAATAGAGAAAGGAGAAATCGTATTTATTCACAGTACCCCTAGCCGTCAATGACCATTATAGATCCTTCCTTGGGAGGATTAAGTAACAAGGCAAAGATTCGAAGAACATGACGATTTGGATCAAATAAGACCAGACAGAAGAACGATATTAAGCAATAATCCACCATTATACAAAATTGAGGATGTTTTTTTATTACAAAAATAAAAGAATCAGACTTGGATATTGAAAAAAGGACATTTCTGTTTTTGTCATAATTGTCTAACATTATTAGAATAAATGGAAAAATTTGTAGTCAAAATGACAGCAATCAATTAGTTTAAATTGTCAAGATTTAGAAAACTTTTCAATCCTCTATATAATGAGTTGAATAAACGGTTGTTTAAAGTATTTAATAATTGTAACAAGTTAAAATTATATAATTTATTGAAATATATTTTGTTCAAACTGATATTTTTAATTAGTAACTTTTGATAAAGAATGAGGTTCCAAAGAATTCACAATGAAATTAATTACCCAGAGATTATCTGGAAAGTGATAAAGGAGATGATGATGATTGGGTGATTATCTGATTATTAAAGATGTATTTCTTTTGTTTTATTACAGCTTTAAATTTTATGATATATAATTTTATTAAAAAAAGAGCATTGATTGCAAAAATGATTATTAATTACTATGACAACAAGTATACCAATTTTTGATGTTGCCAGACATTAATGATATTTTAAATTTAATTATTACTAAATAAATATACGCAGTATAATAATATATAATGGTCTACCATTCTGAAATTTTCACAGATAATCAATCAAGAAAATTTCTTTTAATCAACAGCAACAGAAAAATCAACATCAGTTAGTAATTAATCATCGCCAGGAAATTGATCTTTTCCTTTGATTGAATTTTTTTGTAATTTTATTCTCAATTTTCCCTTCCCAATTGTCTCAGAATTCCATTCAAACTTCTCATCTGCAATAAATTTCAAAACCTTTTCACCTTTTTCAAGCATCAAGTCTTCTATAGTTGTTTTACCATCACGAAACCATCCTAAATGATCAGCTATCAAATGATTATTATTACATGAAGGACATTGTATAATCACTACACCATGATCATATGAGTGTTTTGACATCGTCTTTGTTGATTGGTGAGAACACACTTTACATGTAAATGAAATTAATAGACGTCTATCTAAATTTTGTTGATCATTAGCTGATGCTGCTGGTGGTGGTGATGAAGACAACGAAGATGAAGCTGTGTTGGTAATTTCTGCAATGCTGCTAGTGGTTTTTGTGTCAACATCTATACTTTTAGTAGTGTTTGTGATAGTATTATTATTGTTGCCAGAATCATTGTTACCATCGTTATCATTACTTTTGCTATCATCATTATTGTAAATGATGTTATATTTATCAAAATAATTGAAAAACGATGAATGGATATATTTGTTGTTATAATTGACTTTTTCAATTAACAAATTAACATTATTTTTATGAAAATGTAATTGATTCTGATTAATAAAAATATTATAATTATTATTTATAAAGACTTTCTTTTTTAAATGTATATTTTTATTATAATTTCTACTGATATCTTTGTTACAAATATTGGCAAAATTTTTTAGAGAGAATTTCAAATTGTTAAACATGATTTCAAAATTGATCTACACAAAATCACAAGTAATAGGTTCTTATTTTTATTTTCAACTGATAAGTTTTGCAAAGAAAAATTGAAAATGATGGTTGTGATATTAATAATTTATTAATTATTTCATTAAAATTAAAATATAGTAAAATTTGGAACTTTTCATATACTTTAGATGATGTAATTTTTTTGATCACAATTTTCTAGCCAAGTTAATATTTTAAAGATCAGTTTTAAAAAAGATTTTGAGAAAAGGTACATCCAACAATTAGGAAAGGAGAACATCGATAAAAACGCAAAAAAAGAATGAGTTCATATTACTTGCTGACAGGGTAGAAATAAAAAATCCTGTGGATTTGAATCAGTTAGTGAAGTCAGGTTGAATTGGATCGATATAGATAGATGTTGATGCTCTTGCTTTTAATCTTTAGACCGAAGGGAAGAGATCAGTTACACTTAACAATTGGTAATAGTAACACTCTGCAAGATATTACCATACTGACCGGGCATTTTGTTTGGAGATGTGATCCAATTGACTTGTTAATTGGGAATGAAAAATGATTAATTTGAGGAAAAAAAATCATTTCTTGCTAATCTTTTTTGCGCTATTATATATAGTTCTTTATTCAGAAAAAAAAGATATATCGAACTACACATTCATCCTTCAACCAAGGTTGGAAATAGTACTTTGAAAATCTGGATTTTCTCTGAAAAAAGGTCTTTAGATATTTTTCTTGAATTTGTATAATTTCTAAAGCTCCGAACAGTTCGGTTTACTCTTTGAACCAAACCGAAACCGAACCGAACTATTTAGAGCTTAGGCTAAAAACTATTGGCAGTTCCTGGTATTCTAATTTTGCACTCTGCTTATTTAGAACCAAACCCACTAATTTCTAATCTAATAACAACCAGTGAATGAGTTTTTTCAGGAGACACAGACTTAATTACTCAATGGCGTTTTATTTTAGAACCTGAAACAATAAGAGTTTAAAAGTTTGCGGAGACGATGAATTTTATATATGAACTGAAAAAAATAGAACGTCCTTAGGATTTCTATTCGAATGAAACGAATGAAACGAATGAAACGAACAAAACGAACAAAACGAACAAAACGAATAAAACGAACAAAACGAATAAACGAATAATTCGAATAAAACGAATAATTCGAATAAAATGAACAAAACGAACAAAATGAATAAAACGAATAAACGAGTAATTCAAATAAAACGAATAAAGCGAATAGAATGAATTATTCGAATAGAACGAATAAAGCGAATAAACGAATAATTCGAATAGAATTTGTATCACGAATAAGAACTCTAGACGTACAAATTTTTGTGGTGAATCTATGAATATGTAACGATCCGACCTATAACTAACCAGCCGTATCTAAACATGGCATTATATATAAAATTCAGTCATGATCTCCATACCATCGTTACGATAGTATAAAATTATAGATTATGTATGTATTTGGAATAGAGGTTGGCACCACGCAAAAATTCTTTAACCAGTTAATTTAGTCACGTGGAATTTTTTAATTGGTAAATTCGATCGTTCATTACTTACAAAATAATCACGTGCCTGTTGAATTTTATTATTATACACTTAATAGATGCTAAATGATTACAGTCAAACCTCACCACAGTGGATTCATGGTTCCAGCCAAAAAAATCTGTTATTATTATTATTATTATTATGACAAGAGGCCCACAGCAGCAAAATTGGTGATGATTGGGCAAAATTTTTTTAATAATACAAAGCACTCTCTATACTGAACCCTCTGTCCATTATATGCATTTTTCTGCTTTTGTTCATTATAGGGAGAAATTAATTATAAAAAATTGAATCGGAGACGGGCGACAAAAGGGAAATTCGTTATAGAGAAATTTACTTAGTGTTCGTTATAGAGAGGTTTGGTATAGTGCAATAAATTAATAAACTAAATACAGAAATAAATAAATGAATAAATGAATAATACATACAGAAATGAAAATTATTTGTTGAAATAAGTGGTTGTATTATCTAATAATTTCACTTTTTTCAATAGTTTAAATGGTTTAAATTCTTTACAATATATTTCTAAATTACCTTGTTGAAGAAAATTAAAAGCTATCTCAAAGGAAATTACAGTATATTTTGTTGAAACTTTAGATATAGTGTTACTCTCAACAACTATTATATTATTAACATCATTTTGAAATCTCTTCAACTATATTTCTTGAATTTTCAATTTTCATTATTATTAGATATTTCATTTTCCAAAGGGAGAATTGCAGTTTTCCTCTATCAATTTTGGTAACTTGGACATTTATATGTCACAGACATATATAAAGACCCCATCAAAAAATCCATGGAACAAATTTATTATTAGTAGTAGAATCCATTATTATTATGACAAATGTTTTAATTAATATTAATAAGGGGACAATACTTAAATCCGTTGTAACAAGAAGTGTGTTGTGGCGAGGTCTGCTGGGACAAGGTTTGACTGTAATATATAAAAAAAAGGTGGTTAACCAGTTAATTTTAACTGGTTAATCAAAAAGAATTAACTGGTTAAAAAAATATATTAAATATATTAACTGGTTAACAGTGCCAACCCCTAGATAATAATAATTTCTATATACTTATATTAATAAACAAGCTGTGACATACAAAAAATTAAATTTACAAATTAGATAATGTTTCTTTTCCCATTTGTTTTTTTCCAACCCGCATAGGTTCTAGCTATCCAATTAGAAATGGTTGAAATCTTTTGTTTTATCTTCAATACTTCCATATTCCATATGTTCCAATATTCAATATTTCTTCATGGATATTTTCAGCTCATTTTTGGTTTGGATAACTTCTAGCACAAAATATTTTACAAGATCCTTGAAGAATTCTCAATTTAATATAAATTACAGAAATTTTGTTAAAATGCGGATCTTTTTTTCATCTTCTCAAAACATCATTTTCACAACATGATCTGTTTCTATTGAAAAGCCCTCATATTATTACCTCTTAGAATATTTTTGATGGTAGTGTAACAATTATCCACCATTCAACCATAGAAGAAAACAAACATTAATACAATGTTAGAAATCTGTATTAATAAATTCTTTTTAAAATGAATAAACAAAAGATCCTTATGTTCATTCATTGACCTATTTTTTTTCCAAAGGCTGTAAAATAATCTAGTGCTTGAGCAATAATAGCCATTATTTTTAAGATGTAGTAGTTGGTGTTATTGACCTGTTGTATATTTTCAAAGACACCTAAAAGATTGTTTCAAAAAGAAAACCACAAATAGAGAATACTTTTCCATTATCAGAAGGCTGCCATCAATAACAATAAAATGGTCCATAATGTAAATTGCTTACTAAAGCACCTTTATTTAAAAGAGTAACAGGAATACAACGAGTTTTTGACATTAGGAATAAATTTAATATTGGTTCTTTTAAGATTTTAAATTTATATTAAAATTTATATTTAAAATTTTTTAATAATATTTGAAAATTCCCTCCTTTACCCACCATTCATTAATAATTATTGATGTCTCATTTAATAAAAATAATTGATAATAAAAGTAATTGATTGATATTATGTATGCTCTATTATTATAACTAAACTATTCACTTTACCCATTGAATATAAAAATTCCTACTAATTCATAAAACAGTAAATATATAAATTTAATGTACATAAAAAAATATAATTTTAAGTAATTCTTACATGCAAATATTTGTAAATTTAGATAAAGCAAAATCAGAACATATTCATTGATAGGCAACTGTGAAGTTCATTCTATATATTCCTACATTACCCTATAAAAAATTTGGCATGGAAATGTATGGGAAAATTCATGGAATTTGTATGGGAAAATGCAAATTTCAGGTAAAATTCTGTACAGTTTTCCATACATTTTCTGAATTGATCAATTTATCAACAGACTATTCTGGAATCAAATTCCAATATGGTAATATCCCAGACTGTATTACATATTGAAATTATCCATCAAAAATTTCTGCTGATGATTTCTAAATTTATCCTAATTACATGATGAATTTTATTAAGGCTCTGAACAAATCAAATCGAATTGAATTTGAGAGTGATTCGATTTAATTCAATTCATTCTGTAGTCAATTCGATTCGATTTGAATTCAAAAAAACAGGATTTGATTCAATTTGATTTGATTTGATTTGTGACTCAATTTGAATTGATTCAAATCAAACCGGATTCCTAAAAATTTTTTAATATTAAATTTATATTTTTAATTTGATAATTTAAATTTATATTACACAGTGAATCACAATTAGTGTGCCTCCAT